ACGGGGGATCTCTCCATCACTCAGCGAGCCCCCGATCTACACAGCACGTGTCCCATGGGTGAACAGGTGAGCCTGTTCAAAGCCAGCGATCGGCAATTGCCTGCAAATGGTCAACATTCCCGAGTTCTTGATTGCCAGGATGTCACCTTGGCCGAAGCTCCTGGAGCTAGCGGATCGGAACCAGCGCAGTCTCAGGCCATTTGCTGGTTTTAGTGTGGCAAGACGTGGCAAGTATGTAACATAACCGTGTTGTTTTGGAGCATCTGGCGGTGTGTCGATTTATGACTTGATTTCAATTTGCGGTTGTTGGGCCCTGCAGTCGCATCATTCTGCAATTGTATCAGCCAATACGAACACACTGGGGGAAGAACTGCTGCAAAAGTCGCAGAAATTTCTTCGTTTGTCTGAACCCTAAGGATCCGAGAATCTACTTTTCATGGCTGCCAGCCACTTTCCAAGGTTCTGGCCCCCTAGAAGCCAATGCTGGAAGATAAGATTTGTGGCTGGCAGCTAAGATTCATGGCTGGCAGCCACAAATCTTATCTTCTCAAAACTGGCTGGCAGCCATGAAAAGTAGATTCTACTTCTAAATGTGGCTTCTGCCAAAACTCATGCTACCACCTCCAAGAAGCGCTTCTGGGAAGTCACCTTTTGTGGCTTCCCAGAAGCGCTTCTTGGAAACATGCTATTTGATATGTTGCAGCTGTTTGGCTTTAAACAAGCTAGGTATAGATGTCAGGAGAAGCAATGCTGCCCATCCCCCAGCCTGCAATAAAGGCAGATATCAGCAAGTTGGTGGCCTTTGCAAAAGGCTTCCCTGACTCTTGCAATGCAAACCTGTGGTCAGCTGACCCTGAAAAAGCCGGCGCAAGGCATGCATTGTTTTTGGATGTGTGGTTCAAGCATGGGGCTCTGAGCAAGCCTGTGGAAAGGCAAGCAATGAAAGAAAGCCAACCATAAATTGACCACATCAGAATGCAAGTTGATCGTGAACCAAATTCATGAATGCAAAAACTTTCTGAGAAGAAAACGGAAAAATCTCAAGACTGGAGAAAAGACCTCTGGTCTATTGATGGGTTTGATGCAAAGTCTGTTTGGCACTCCACAGCCTGCAGAAAGGCCAGTGAGAAGGCTTAACCAGAAGACACCAAAAAAGAAAGCCCTTCAGCCTGCAGAAGAGAAGCCTGAGCAAGGCCCAGCACCTATCACTTTTTTAGAATCCCCAGCTGCCATTCTACCATCAGACCAAGAGGTGGTGGAAATCGAAAGTACAGCTGCAAGCACAGCAGTGACACAACGAGATCTGGAGCCTGCAAAAAGGCCATCGTGCAAAAAAGTGCCAAAGAAAGTGCCAGCCTGCAAAAGGCCAAGTGCAGCAAGAAAAGCCAAGGCATGTTGGAAGAAGAGCCTTTCCTTTGGGTTTGTTAAGGAAACCAAAGCTTCAAACAAGGCTTACATTGTGTCCAAGCCTGAAGAAGGCAGCAAGCCAACTTGCCTGGTGAATGTGCAATTGCCTAGGGGTCCTGACCAAGACAGAGTCATGTCTGCACTTATGGCTAAAGCCTGTGAAGAGGCAAGCCTGGAGAAAAAGCAGCTGGTCTCATACAAAGATCAGCTCATAAAAAACATGCCAGCACAGCCTGCATAAAGGCACCCCTTGGTGAGGATCAAGGGACAGACAGCAAGCCATGGGGATGGAAAGGAGGAGAGGGAAAGAAGAGGCCTTGAGCCTGGACCAAGGCAGTGCAGGGCAAGAAGCAAAAGCCAGCGCAGGCCAAATCCCTCCAGAACCTCCTAAACCAAGGAGGGCTCAGCCTGCACAAGGCACACCAGCCCAGCCTGAACAAGGCTGTTTCCAGAAAAACCAAAGCCTGAACAAGGCCCAAGTCAGTCAACTGGTACAAAAGAAGAGACAGTTCCAGAATGCAAAAAGCCCAAGCCCAACGCAGAAAATGCATCAAAGCCTGCAGAGGCTGAGCAGGCAGTGGAGCCTGAGCCAGAATGAGCAGCCTGCACAAGGCCAGAATGAGCAGCCCAAAAAAGGAGATGATGCTGCTCACGATGGTGCTGATGATAAAGGCACTCTGGATTTCTGAGTGGGCACTGCACAGCTCAAGCCTGAACAAAGGCCAGCACACCCCATGGCTGAAGCCTGAACAAAGGCCAACTCCACCACTGTTCAGCTCAAGCCTGAACAAAGGCCATTCAAAACCACAGCTGTCTTCTTAGCCTTGATAAAGGCTTGTACAGAAATGGAGCTTTGGCAGCCCTGCAAAAAAGCTCTTTGGGTGGGGAGTGGGGTTTTGTGGTTGGTTGTTGCTGGTAGTGGTGGTGGTTGGTAGGTGTTGGATTAGGGGAAGCCTGGAACAGGTATACTACTTGAGATGTGAGTGGTTCACCCCCAAGATCTTGAAGGTGAGTGGTTCACCCCCAAAATTAGTAAGGTGAGCCTGCAAAAGGCCAGAAACACTAAAGCAAAAAGTACAAAAAAGGTACGAAAATCGTACTTTCGTACTTTTTTATGTTTTTATATATTTCCTTTTAAATTAAAAGGAAATGTATAAAAAGTACAAAAGTACGAAAGTGCGATTTTAGTACTTTTTCGTACTTTTTCTTACTTTTTGGGTCTCTCAGCATCTCTGCTGCAGCTTTTGAAAAATCAAGGGCAGACCACCAACACACCAGAAAAGGACCACCAACACACCAGCACCTTCAAACAACCAACGCCACACAACAAGCACAAACACACCAAACCTGGCACCCACGCCACCTAGAAAGAGGCGGACCACCAGAGCCTGAACAAGGCACCATTGTAGTGAAGCAAGAGACAGCCACTCCTCACAAAGACAAGCCTGAGGAAGGCACCCCTACCAAGGATTCTGCAAGGGGCTCACCCCAAGCACCCAGAATCAGAATGAAAAATTTCACCAAAAGCTGTAGCCAAGGCCAAGCCCAAGGCCAAAGCCGGCAGGGGATTTGAGCACTTTGACAAGTGCACACGAGTTTGACACAGGCACCAGCCTGCAAAAAGCAATCCACAAAGTTGCCACCTTCACCACCCAAGTCTATCAGCACGTGGAAGCTTTCAATGGCAGGAAGCTGGCCAAATATGGAAGGGCATTGAAGAGCCAGTACATGGCATTGGAATCTCACATTCAAAGAGAAGATGAAAATGATGTTTGTTCCTGGCATGCCAAGCCTAAGTGGCACTTGGCTGAGCATATTTTTGATTTAGCCTGCATGCAGCAGTGGGCACTCAGAAGGGGTGGGAAGAGAAATGCAAGCGGTGAAGCAGAGAAAACCCTCCTTTGTTTCATGAATGACACACCCCCTCTGAATGTCAACTTGCCCAGCTCAGCCTGAAGAAGGCCCAAATCCGACGTCCAGCTTCAGCCTGAAAGAAGGCCATGCAACCATAGGTACAATATGTTTCACCTTGTCTCACACAGTTGCGCCAAGGAAAAAGATGCACATGCTGATTTGCAGAAGCCACTTTTTGTAGTCTAGAGTTCAAAACCCGGAAGCCACTTTCCATGGCTGCCAGCCTAAAATCTTAGCTTCCACCAGAAGCTATTTTTAAAAGTGGCTTCTCGGATCCTTAGGGAAGCGGGGGGCCATAGCAGGCTCGACTTTCTCAAGTGCACAAGTCTGCGAACATTTTCATCGGGCATGTGTGAGGAACCGACCAAAGATCCAACCAAGCACGCAAGATTGCTGAAATTAGTCAGGATACCAAAGAAGGTTTATTCCCCACCTGCCAGGTGAGGGTTGTTAGATTCTATCACAGTTGTTCTTCCTTCCGTCCGTCCGTCCCTTCCCTTCCCTTCCCTTCCCTTCCCTTCCCTTCCCTTCCCTTCCCTTCCCTTCCCTTCCCTTCCCTTCCCTTCCCT